CGAGGCAAATAATTAAAGCGTTTATATTTATCATAAGGAATCACCTCTCTTCCTTAAAAAAAGCAATCTTAGAACTCACCTTCCCCAGCGGACCTGTCCCACCTCCCATCCTTACCTTTCACCCTCCCACCTCAGAGGAAGAAATGTCCCTGCTCACGGTCAAGGGGACACCTCCACTTGAGTTCTCAGGATGCCCAACTCTCCTGTCTCTTGGCCCAAGTCTGTTTCAAATTAAATCAAATTAGTGCCTTTGCTATTTGGCCCTCAGCTTGTACTCAGCTTCAAATACATCACTCATGTTTGTATATATTATTTTCATACATTCTTATGACATTGCAAACATGGCACTTTGATCTCTCTAACTAAATTAGAAGTTCTTTAAGACCAAGGACTCCTCACACAGCCAAGAGAAGACTGAGGACATAGCAATCAGCGTTTAGCACCTACATAAGCGTACAGAGCTCAAGTACTGTTATTGCCTGACGTCCTTTACCTTTAGGAAAGGTGACATAACCATGTGGCCCTGAACCACATCTCAGTCCTTGAGACAATTCCTTCTGTAGAAATTATGACCTAGCTTCTGTCATCCTCCTTCATGCGTCACTGTGATTCAGCCAAGCAGGTGTGTCCCACAAACCCTACCCCCTCCCCTTTGTGTGCCTTTCTATGCTTCATTTCCTTCTCCTAGAATGTGAAGACTGCAATTCTGACTCGAGGGATCTGAGGAGGCTCGTGAGGGATAATGGTGGTAGTATCCTAAATTGGGCCGTGAAAGATTGATAGCAAGTGACAAATGAGCCAACCTGGAGAGAAGATATTCTAGGAAAAGGAGCACGTTATAAGCATAGTGCCCTTTTATTGAGCACTCTCCTCCATGCGAAGGTAGTTTCAATCAAGGTTCATTAAAAGCAGTCTCCGGGGCTTCACTGGTGGCTCAGTGGTTGAGAGTCCGCCTGCCGATGCAGGGCACACGGGATCGTGCCCCGGTCCGGGAAGATCCCACATGCCGCGGAGCGGCTGGGCCCGTGAGCCATGGCCGCTGAGCCTGCGCGTCCGGAGCCCGTGCTCCACAGCGGGAGAGGCCGCAACAGTGACAGGCCCGCGTACAGCAAAAAAAAAAAAAAAAGTAGTCTCCGTGGATGTACCTCTAAAACGTGCCACTGACACACATTCTACATGCAGCATAGCATCTGTAACCCAATTTTGCTCCTCAGAAAAGAATCCTATCGATGCAAATCCTATCTAGACCCACCTTAAGTCATATTTCCTCTGTGAAGCCCCCCTTAGAAAATCAAGCCAACAATTCTTTCCTCTCCAGCTACACAATGAATTTTTCATCTACCATTGACTTTGCTACTTGATTTGATTTACAGCTGGAAATCCGTCCACTGTTCTCTATTGGGTCCGTTCAGAGGGTGAACAGAATAGTAGTATCTGAGCACACCATACCTTATCACCCCAAAAATGTTTAGCTGGTGTTGGGGAGCCAGTGAACAAAGTCCAACATCTTTAACATAATAATCAAAGCCCTCATCAAGGTGCCCCCGCCAAGCTTGCCAGTTTCTGGCAAAACTCTAAGACTCTGTCTTGGTCAGCTCAGGCTTCCATTTAAAGAATACCGTAAACTGGGAGGCTTAAACAACAGAAATTTATTTCCTCACAGTTCTGGAGGCTAGAAGTCCAAGATCAAGGAACCAGCATGTTCAATTTCTGGTGAGCACTCTCTTTGTAGCTTGTAGATGGCTGCTGTCTCCCTGTGTCCTCATGTTGTGTGTGTGTGTGTGTGTGTGTGTGTGTGTGTGTGTGTGTGTGTTGGGAGTGGGGGTGGGGAGAGGTCTCTGGTATCTATTATAAGGGCACTAACCCCATCAAGAGGGCTCTATCTTCATGACCTCATTTGAACCTAATTATCTCCCAAAGGCCACATGTCAAAATACCATCACATTGGGGGTTAGTGCCTCAACATATAGATTTGGAGGGCACACAAATCAGTCCAAAGCAAACTCCCACTCTACCACAATCACCCCAGTGAATGGATGAGTGTATGGGCTAAGTTTGTAGGCTCTAGATTCTACCGCTCATTAGCTGTGTAGACTTGAACAAATAACCTACTTTGAGTCTTAGTTTCCTTATCTATAAAATGAGGATAATAATGGTACCCATTTCATAGGATTACTGTGAGGAATAAATGAGATCATGTACATAAAACACATAGCCAGCGCCTAACACAAAGTTAAGTGCACAGTAAAATGGCACTATGCTTGTGATGTGCTCGTCTGGCTCCTTTTCCTGGAATATCTTCTCTCCAGGTCTGCTCATCTATCACTTGCTATCAATCCTTCAAGGCCCAACTTCAGATACTTACCACCATTATCCTTCGCAAGCCTCCTCAGATCCCTTGAGTCAGAATTATAGTCTCCATGTTCTTCTAATGTACGGTGTCATGTCCCTATTCTGGCACTCACTAGAGGCTGCCTTAGTCTACTAGGATGAGCCATTTAAATACAAAAGCATTAAACAGTAAGCTCGTGGTTTCAAGGGACATGTATTACCCATTGTGCCCAAGGCATTACCTTGCCCACAGTAGGTACTCCATGCCGTGAACTTCACTGGACTGAGTCAGGATACCATTGTTTTCTTCTGGTGGTGCTATCTCTATCTAGTGGTAGTATTTTGAAAGAATCACTCTTACAGCTTTTGCCTTAATTTTCTCAGCAATTAAATGAGACAATATCCCAACTTACAGATATTACTAATAAACACGTACACTGTAGGGGCTTCATAGAATCTGAGTATGATTTGCAGCTCTGCTGCTTACTAGCTGTGTGACCCTGGGCAAGTCTTTTATTTGCTTCTCAGTTTCCTCCCCAGGAAACAGGAATAATAAGATATTCCTTTTAAGGATTAAAAAAGGTGTGTGTAAAATGCCTGAGGCATCCTGAAACTCAGTAAGTGCGAATTCCTTCCCTCAGTCCCTAGTCCCACCCTGAGCTAGGACAGAGTATCCCAGCTTTGCTTTCATGCCTGCCTCCATGGTGGGGGGAGGGGGGAGAGACAGGGGTAGTAGGGTAGGGACAGGGACCGGGACTATTCTCTAACATCAATGATCAATTCCTTGTCTCTCTTTTCTTCCCCACACCCTTTTGCTTTCTGCTGAATTGCTTATCTGCATCCCTCTTCCTGCTGTATCCTCTCCCAATTTCCAAGAGACACTGGTAATAACCTAGAGCTGAAAAAATTCCTGGGCCCACTGGTTTACCACCTGGAGGGATGGCAAAGCAAGGGTTTCTTTACACACTTCTGAAGCTTCACTGGGAAAGAGAGTGTTTCTAGAACCCACGGTTGAAACAGGGAGTGGATTTTCCCACAGAAGCATAGCTTTACATGGTCATTAACATCTATGGTATTATTAATACAGCATGATCCTTCAGATTATGGGTTACATAGGCTTTTATGGGCTGGCCTGGGAACCTCATTACCATGGAGACCATTGTTTTCTGTGGGAAAAATGCATTCCACATTCCAAACGGCTGACTCACAAACAAACTTTTGGAACACAAGCCACACATGATTTACAAACTTTCTGTACTTTTCTAATCTACCCCAAGATCAAGCATAGAGCTAGGTGCTCCAAAGTGCTGACTACTTACAGAAACTGGCTAACTTAAAAAAAATCACTTACAGGTCCCTGTATACACAACATTTTTTCTTGCAGCAAGTCTTTGAGCTGCACTTTCTACTTGAAATACTCCGCCACCTCCACCTCACCTGGCTTTTACCTTCTCTTCCAAGTTCACCTCAGGCTCCACTTCCTTCTCCAAACTCTGACCAACACCCTTCACCCCCCATGCGGCTGTACACTATTCTCTATCCCCAGGAGCCCCATATTCATGCACTCCCAGAACACGTATCACAATGGGTTGCCACTGCCCAGCTACTTGTTTGCTTGTTTCTCTCTTCCACTTGAGGATGGGGACTTTTATCTTTGTGTCCTCAACGTGTAGGACAGTACCTGGACCTCAGTAGGTAGTCAAAGAGAATTTCCTAGATCATTAAACAGTCAGAAGCTACAGACGCTATGGAAAACTCACAGGTAGTCATTTTCACGAGCCAGAGGGGTGGAGCCTGGGGAAAGGGTACATGCCTGGGCTGAGGAGCAAGAGCTAGAAATACTGGCACAGTCAGCTACCACAGCTTAGTTGCTAGATCTTTCATAGATTCTGAACAACCATCAACTGCTCAGTATTAGCCTAATAAATTAAAGAATCAGATGATTATGTCATATCAGAACTGCTAGGGACCTAAGAGATAATCTCGTCCTCCTCTCATTTTCCAAAGGCAGACATGGAGCCCCAAATAGGAACTAAAACTTGCCATTCACCCAAACCAAACATCCAAGAGCTCATCTAACAGCTCCCTTTTTGACTTAATAGCCAGACAGGGTAACATAACCACTGCACACAAGGGGAACTCCAAACTGTTCCTCAGAACAATCTACCTATCTTCTAGGGTCAGTCCTACTTGGACATCAGCGCCAGCTCAAGTTACAAGATCTAAGGAAAAATAAAATCTCTCAGATATGGAAAAAGCATTCAAAAACCATCCAGCTCAAACTGTTCCCATGCAACAATAAAAATATCCTGACACTACTCCCAACAACCAGTCTCTGCACAAATATTTGCATGCATGCTATATTAACTTTCCCAGGATTTCTGGCAGAGGTATTCTATATTTATATTGACAATATTCTATAAATATTCTGTTTCTGTTGATAATATTTAACATGCATTTTTAAAGCATGAATGTGGTTGCAAATAAACGGCACCAAAGTAGGCTGTTTGAATAACAAAAAAGGTCAGAAAGTGTATTGGTATACAGAGGCACTGGTGGAAATTTCCAACAGCAAAAATGATCCCTCCCATTGGTCATTTTTTTTCCCCATCAAAAGAGTGCTTGAACTTGTCAATGGGGATTGTCTACTTAGAATTGTCGGTGAGTACCTTCAAGAAGTCATTCAATGCAGGCGTCAGTTTGCTTTTCCATCCCTGTCTTTTTACATGTTTCATGAATAGTAAGTGATGGAGTAAAAATATCACTGGACTAGGAGTCAGGAGATTAGCTTCTGGTCCTGGATCTGCCGCTGACCACCTGGCTTATCCTGGGCAAATCACTCCCCTTCTATGAGCATCTGTTTCCGCATCTGTACAATGAGAAGATGATAAAAAGAGATCAGTGTTCCCTCAGATACACGCTTTAATATTTTTATATGTATTCAGAGTACAATCACATTTGTCAAAAAGCATGCTAGTGGCCTTAAAAGTGTTCACAAATTATTGAACTGGAACTCTTCATTCTTTTCCTGCTTAACAATCCGTGACTCTTAATGGAATAAGTTAGCATGAGGATCTAAGGGATGCAACAGGTTCAAAATGGGGTAGTTCCCAATGATTGTCTATCAAACTGGAAACTACTTTCTGAAAGTGAAACAAAGTAATGGATAAAGCAGGCCACCTACAGAAATTCTTTCCATCCTAAGAGATGGTGCGCAAATGTGCTGCTGATCAGTTTCCAATGTCATCTTAGTTTCCAGCCAGACTAAACTATGATTAATGCAAGCTAGGCTCTGACAAGCAATGTCATAACAAGCGGGGCTGGGAGAGTGTTTGCATGGATTCTAGGGAGAGCCAAAGTGTGAGAAAATGTCAGTGTGCTCTGTCCAGGAGAATCAGTGCTCTGATTCTAAAAAAACAAATACCAGTTCTCTAGAGAGGACTATTTCTGGAGTGGGGAAGGACAAACTGTCATACCACCATAGCTTGAGGAAGATGTCCCCTGGGAACATCAGATTCCCTTTGTTCTAACTCCATACTCACAAAGAAATATTCCGACATAACATTTCATCTCTAGAGTGAACTTGCCAACCAGGAGAGTGTGCCCCGTGCAAAGGATTGACACCAGTTATACTGCTGAATACTATTCTTATCATAAATTAAGAAAATGGGCGTCTGAAAGATCAGAGTTGTCTGATTTTTGACTAGTATGGGGAAACTGATCAAAATGAGTTTCTATTCTGAAAAACGAAGACACAAACCCAGGATCTGGAGTAGCCTCACCAAGAAGGGCATGCACGCATAAGGCCTAGCCCGAAATCAGCAGTACCTCACTAGCATCATTCCATCCCTTAACAGAAACTTCAATAGAGCAGGTTTTCTATTTCTTGGGGCCTAGCACTAATGACACAAAGGACATTTTCAAATCCAGATTCATTAACCTCATTATCTTTGCTCTATTTTAGGGCCATAGTTTCAGTCAACCTGGCCTGCCAGGAAGTTCAAAGTCCATGAAGCTTTAATAAGTAACTACTATGTAAAAGGCAACAACTACAAGGGAAACTAGATGAAAAAAAGGGTGCCTAGATGACGGAAAACCTACAAAGAAACACCACTGGAAATAAAATAGATCTGTGACTTTATTTCAAACTCCCAAGAATAGCGCATATGACACTGCATGATGTAACTAACCCCTGCCTACCTCTCTGACCTCATTTCCATCTATCTATCCCCTCAAGGCATCCCCTACCCTCTAGTCATATAATGTATTGGCAGTTCCCTGTATATGTTCATTCTTCCACATATGTAGTTTCTTCTGCCTAGAGTATCCTGCTCACTCTGAACTTTCTGGTTCACCTTGAAGGGGAGCAGAATATAGCACCCCAAAATGTGCCTCCTTGTCATAAGCATTAGTTTGAGCTGATTAGTTTTAAGAAACAGCAGATACTACTATATATAAAACATATGAACAAGGACCTACTGTATAGCACAGGGTACTATATTCAATACCTTGTAATAACCCATAATGGAAAAGAATCTGAAAAACAATATGTGTGTGTGTGTGTGTGTGTGTGTGTGTGTGTGTGTGTGTGTATATGAATCACTTTGCTGTACACCTGAAACTAACACAACATTGTAAATCAATTATACTTTAATTTATTTTAAAAAAATGGAAATAAAAGGAAAAAATAAACAGTAGACACAGGAGAAATTCTGAAAACCCAGTAGGAGGTGCTGGTTTGTAAGAGACATTTATATTTATAAAGGAAATCTCCATTTGTAAGGGTGTCTCCCTCTCCTTACCAGGAAAAAGAGGATGATGAAATCTCTAGAAACTCTAATCAATGGAGTAGCCACCTTAATCTGCATTATAGCAGCCACATCCTCCTTTACTAAGCTTTGCCTGTTAACCTCCTATAACATCTTTCTTTTGTCTTTAGCTGGAGATGGTATTTAAGATGGTGGCTTAGGCCATTACACAGAGTTACTCAGTTTTCCTGGGTATCTCCCATGTGTAAATACAGGAGTTCTACGTGTTATTAAACTTCTGTTTGTTTTGCTCCCATTCATCTGTCTTATATTACAGGGTGGGTCTAAGCCAAGAACCTAGAAGTATAGAGGGAAACTTATTTTTGCTCCCCTACAAGCTGAAGCATCATGTTATTCCTTAAACCTCCAATGGGAATGAGTTAAGTGACCTCCTATGTGTCTCCATAGAACCCCATTTTATATGCCTCCACTGCATTGTAATTGCTGGTTTCCTTCTCTATATTTCCTTATACCATCAGCTCCTTGTGAGATGATGTGGCATATTATTCGTTTCTGTATTTCCAGTTTCCTAATAAACAGTTGATACTTATTAATAAATGTTTCCTGAATTAATGATCAAATGCCTGTCCAGGAAAGAGTACAGAAGAACACTAGGGGGATGATCCAATCATTGGGAGCCATGAACTTGAGTTATAAACAATTTGCTTTACGTAGTACCACACTGAACTTTCCAATGTGGTTTCTCCATGTCTCAAGCGTCCTTTCCAGCAGCTTTGCCATACTTAAGCCATCAAACACTGGAGAATTTAATTGTTGGTCACTTTCTGAAAATGAAACTCAAAATAAATCATTCTACTGGGAGCAGAGTGAGCTCAATAACCAGAGGCTGATTTAAAAGAAAGAAGAGAAAATCAACACTAAAATGGTCTAGGAAAAAGTCATAATGCCTTTCCATTCCTCCAAGAGCACTTTGTGAATTGGATCCCACATTCATCTTTCCCTCTGAGTATTTGAAATAATGTCAGACTAAGTAATAAATGTCAGATGAGCTGAAAAATATCTGGTTAAGAGAACAGCATTTCTTACACAGCCAAAGAAAGTCTATTCAAACCTTGCCACATAAATGTGGCTCTCAAACATTTAGAGACCTGAGGCAATGTCTCACTTTCTGGGCAGGATAGAGAGTATCTCTTTCCTTGTCCCACCTCCAACTTTTCAACAAATACCTCTTGCTCCTCTTAGTGATGTTGCACTTCAGCTTGTCCTTAGAAGAAGAGGCAGCAAGAATGAAAAAAGACAGAGGAAAAAAAAAATCTATCAGTAATAGCCACAAACTTATGGCTTCAAATTGTATTATCTAGCCAATGACAAAGTTGAAAAGTTTGTTCTCTGAACATGGTTCCAACTCACTTTTCTCTTTGCTCTCTCTCCCTTCCTTCTCTACCACTCTCCCTGTTACGTACCTCTGGAGTAAACATTTTCTAATGTCCTCACATATTCTCTAGTTTGGCTTCAGGTACAATTATTGAATTGATTTTTGGTGCCATTTTAAATTTTTTGACATATATTGATTTCAGTTTTAGGTACTTAATTCCATGAAATTCAGATAAATTCCGGTTTTTACACTTCAAAGCCAGAGATACAGGTTTTGGCTATGGTGTAGATTATTTATTATTTGCTGGATTTTTCATTTTTATTACCTTGAAGCACAATTTCGCACTGAGAGTAAACTAAAATGATTGATGGATGAATAAATGCCCTGGATCCTCTCAGAGGCCTAGTGGGAATTTTCCACACAAAGCAGTAAGAGCTTCTAGTGATGGAAAGTCTTTCTGAATTATAGAGCATTGCAGTATAGACTCTTGAATTAGATACTAGAGGAGAATCAGGAGATCAAGGCTCAAGCAAGTCATTTCACTCAGTCTAAAATGAAATAAAGCCTCCCTCAGAATTGTTTGGCTGGGTCTACGCATCAGGTACATCTCTGTAAGAAGAGCATTTATTTCACTTGGTTATCACAGATTTGCCTCCTTAATGACAATAAATCCCTTTACGTTTTCATTCATCTAAGCAAACTTGTGCCTGTAAGGGGGCAGAATTTGCCACCCCAAAATATGTCGTTATCGAGCAAAACTTGGGTCTGCTCACCCATGCGCACTAAAGCCAATCTACTGACACCAGGTTGTGGTGAAGGAAAGTGCAACATTTACTGCAGAGCTCCAAACAATTAGTCCAAGGCAGCTAGCGCTCAAAATACCTGAACTCCCTGATGGGTTTCAAGAAAGCATTTTTAAAGGCCAGGTGAGGGAGGGGAGTCTCAGGGTGTGTGACCTGTTCATTCACAATTCTCTGATTGGTTGATGCTGAGGTAACAGGGCAGTGTCACAGGGGTTAACATTATCATTCCTTAGGCACCAGGAGGTCTGGGGGCTATGTGCTCATGATCGTCCAGTAGTTAACTTCTTCCATTTGATGAGGGTATTAGTATCTGTAAAACAACTCAGGAAATGTGCATCAGATAGAGTTATCTAGGTACTTCAGAGAGGAGATAAAGCAGAGGACATGGGGGAGGACATATAAAGAAGATGTGATATATATATATATATATATACACGCATACATACAATGGAATACTACTCAGCCATAAAACAGAATGAATTAATGCCATTTTCAGCAACATGGATGGACCTAGAGATTATCACACTAAGTGAATTAAGTCAGACAGTGAAAGACAAATATCATATGATATCACTTATATGTGGAATCTAAAAAAAAAAAAAAGATACAAATGAACTTATTTACAAAACAGAACCAGACTCACAGACATAGAAAACAAACTTACGGTTACCAAAGGGGAAAGGGGGAAAGGGAGAGATAAATTAGGAATCAGGGAGTAGCATATACACACTACTATACATAAAATAGATACACAAGGGACTTCCCCTGGCAGTCCAGTCGTTAGGACTCAGCGCTTTCACTGCCATGGCCCGGGGTTCAATCCCTGGTTGGGGAACTAAGATCCCACAAACCACACGGCGCGGCCAAAAAACAAACAAAAAAACAGATAAACAAGAGGGACCTACTGTATAGCACAGG